GGCGCACGACGAAGTGAACGTTGCTAAGTGTTAGCGGTCATTTTTCGTGACAGGCGCAGCATTTGCCGACCTTCGAGGGAAAGATTCGTGGCAGGCGCAATACAAAGTGAAGGTTGCTCAGCGCTAGCAATCATTTTTCGTGACAGTCGTAGCATTTGGTGATCTTGGAGGTGAAGGTTGCAAAGTGAGAGTGAGTGTTAGCATGTATGTTGAGGCACACACTCAACCCCACCCACTCAACCTCATTTCATTCAACTTCATTCACTCCTCATGCAACCTCAACCTCACACAACCTCAACTTCACCCAACTTCAACCTCACCCAACCCCACGCATTCAACTTCACTCACCCAACCTCTTTCACCCAACCTCATTCACTCAACCCCACCCATTCAACCTCACTCAACCTCACTCACTGAACCTCACTCACTCAACATCAATCACTGAACCTCACTCACTCAATCTCACTCACCCAACCCCACCCACTCAACCTCACTCAGTCACCCTCACTCACTCACTCACTCACCCACTCACTCACTCACTCACTCACTCAGCCCCACTCACTCACTCACTCACTCATTCACTCACTCACTCACTCACTCACTCCCTCAGTCACTCATTCATTCACTCACTCATTCACTCACCCAACCTCAGTGACTCAACCTCAGTCACTCAACCTGTCACCCACTCAACCTCACTCAACCAACCCCACCCACTCAACCTCACTCACTCAGCCTCATTCACTCACTCATTCACTCATTCACTGATTCAACCTCACTCACCCATTCAACCTCACTCAACCTCAACTATGCATGTGCTCGCCCACTTATTTTTGTTTAGTTTGTTCGTTGTTTTGTTTGTTTTTTAGTTGGTTTGCCAGTTGACCCCGACTTGTACATCTGAGGTAATGGCTTTGAAGTTGTTGCTTGCCGTGGTGGTAGTGGGAGGTGGCTGGGGCATGGATGTGCCACCCACCTTGGTGGACAGCTTGTCAGACGATGAGCTGGAGATGGAACTTGCGCTGGCTTTGTCCATGGCACCAGGGGAGGGTGAAGTACCATTGCCCACCTTCCCATCGCACTGGCCCACCTCCAACATGGAGGATGTGGACATGGAGGATGTGGACATGGAGACGGGCGCAGTATTGAATGATCTTGAAGATACAGATTCATCATCATCATCGTCATCATCATCATCATCACCAAACACTTTTCCAGTCGGGACACCCCTGGCGGCGCCGTTTCCCACTCAACTCCTATAGATGTTATATTTTCGAGACTTCCGTCACCGCCTCGTGCGGCTATATGTTAAATATTACATTCTTTGGATAGTTGAATACTTACACTCGGGATCAAAGTCCCTTTGCTGTTCGACTTAGCTTTCCCAGGACGGTTCGCAGTGCAGCGGCTCCAAGCACGCACTTGCTGCAGCAAGGGAGAAAAATTTGCGAGTCAGCAGCAAGCAGCGAGCGGCTCTAGTCTCCGCTTCTCCACAATCATCAATCACTGCATGGATGCGCCTCGCTCCTCTGCGGATGACCTTGCACAAACTTTTACCCACTAAAATTGAACCATGTGTCCACATCCACGCGTGAAATACTCTGGCATCGCGCAGTTCGTTCATAGAAAGAGCCATACATGGCACAATTGGATCATCGCGCAAACATAGCGCAACTTCATGTACACCATGAAAAACATGGATAGTGTGTATTTTTCTGTTCTGGCTACGCCGCTGCCCCGCCGTACCCTTCTGTTGAAATTTCCAACTTCTATCTTCACTCCCGTAAGATTTCACACCTGAAACGGATTCAATCATATTTCTACTTTTTCCGCTTTCAGCATCTCAGGCACATACAAGAAATCCAATCTCCAAGCATATTCACAGAACATTTTCTGTAACATCCAACATGTGAGCGATACCACAAAACTTGACCCCTGAATCTTTATAAAAAAAGACAAAAGTCAGGTTACGCTAAAAACAAAAACCTGGCATCGTTCTTGCTTCTTCTTCCCCAGCTTGCCTACAAATAGATCGTTCGCAAGAAACCAACAAAAGACACCAACAAACGACTTAGATTGTATGAAATATCTTAGATATCAGATTTCCTGACTACCAAATATCTCAAAACTACGCGGTACATACCGATGTTTTTTGATGCTCAGGCGCTCAAAACCACGGTATTTACGATGTTTTTTCAAACAACGCGGTATCTGCGCTGTTTTTTGCACACGCGCCTGCAAACGCATCGGTATTTACAGTGCTTGGGCTACATTGTCATTTAGTTTTGTTCAGGTCACAATTTGCAAAAACACTGTAATTTACACTCTTTTGGGCCTTGCCGCGCACAGCAAAAACATTCAAAAACAGTCCCAAAACCACCCACATTCTGTGCCTTTCCCGATCTGCGATCTTTGGTCGATTTTGTACACATTTTTACATTTTTTTTTACCCTTTCCGATGTCCCCGCAAAACGCCTCGTGCCCATGCAATTCAATGATTTTTTTGGGGATTTTCCTAAAACCCGATTTTGGAATCGCTCAACTTCCAAAAACGCCTCGAAATGCAGGCGAAAACATTCCCTCACCTCCCACGGGCCTTCTGGCTGGTAGACACCTGCTCCCAGCGATCTCCTCCGCCACAGCTTTCCACAATCTAATTCCGCACCAAAAACGATCCAAACTTCGTCCT